GTAGGGATCATCTGCCCTGGATTCCCTGTGTTTCCAGTTCCTATCTGTACCAGTGTACATCCTCTGGTCTAGCCAGACTTGCAAGGTAGAATTTGGATCATGATAGTGGTGGTGGTGGGGTGAGGGAGGAAGCATTTAGGAAGTGGAGGAAAGTTGTATTTTAGTGAAATGCTATGCCAGCATTAAGAAATGATAATAAAGAATATTTATGTATATGAGAGGATACTCAAGCTATCATTGCCACTCAAGATAAAATAACACATCTATTAAGATTTTATGTGGATAAGCATTAAATATATGCATATGCATTCTATGATTCCATATGCTGAGAAGGAAAAACAATGTGCTAAATGGGATCTGTGGCCATCTCTGACCTCCTCTTCATTGTCTTGAGGCAGTGGTCAGACATGGCTCCTGGGCCCATTTTGCTTTACCTACTCTGATACCAACCATTCCTCCCAAGGCACTCTATTTCTATGTAGAGGTTGATAATTTGTTGAAATGGCCGCACACAATTCACAGATAATACTCACAATTCCAGAGATTTACTAGGGAAGTTAATAGGTTTCCACAAGTCAGGATCAGTAAACAGTAGAAAAACAGTCATTGATCCACAGAAACACCTCTCCTCAGTCAGTACCCACGTTTCTTAGCCTCTCAGACACATGGTCCTTTGGCCTCTACTTTCCTGGATCAAGCAGCTGGCCCGTCACTGTCTCACAGTCCCATAGTCTTGGCGCTGCTTCTCTGGTTCTGTCCAGGAGTCTCCGTGTCACATTCTGTTGCCTCTGGTCTAGGCCTCTAACACTTAAGAGATCTGGACCATATTCTGGGAGTCTTAGCCTATCTCTCTCTCTGCTACTGCTTCAAAAATAGCTCATCCTTATAGCCAGGAGGGTGGTAACAAAAAATGACCAATTCCTCCTATTCATGTTACACATGCCCTATTTGCGTAGTCCTACCCAATCACTTGGTGGGAGCTAGAAAAACTTGGGTAGAAGAGTTCTATTAAGAAATTTCACACACACACACACACACACACACACACACACACACCCCACCACCCTGATGCACCAAGACATGACGACAACATACTTGTATGTACCAGGGAACCAATAGAGAGGTCTGAGGGGCCAGCCCCTACCCCACTATGTGGACACCCCCCCCCCTCAGAAGAATGCATTTCAGAGGATAGCACTGGGGCTACAGCTTGGGGAGAGGGGTGCATCAGATTAGAGCACACGGGAGAAACATAAAGGGATAGAGATGGAGGAGAGGTCATCCTGGCCCACCAAGCCCCAAGGATGATGTTTCTGCTTGGAGCAGACAATGCACCGGGAGGACAATAGGGCTGCCCCACCATGGGACATGGCGTCCATTACTGAACCATGACGCTGTGGGAGGCAACACTGGAGACACAGTGGGGGAATCGTGCATAGTCTGGCCCTATCACGATGGGGTGAGGCACTGAGGGCATGCAGCAGAGCAGCAGGGGGAGCAGGGTGATGAAATTCCCAGGGAATACCAAAAATAGACTTGGGAGAGAGAGTGTGGTACCCCATCAGACTCAACTGGAAAACACTCCTAAAGGCCAACAAAGAGACCTTGAACTATTTATAGGCTTTTCCATTTTTGTCAGTGGCTTTCTTTTTGTTATTGTTATTTTGTTCTTGCATTCTGCTGCTGTTATTGTTTTGTTGGTTTTGACTTCCTTTGTTGTTTTGGTTGGCTTTGCCTGGTTTTTGCACTTATCAATGTATCTGCATGTATATCTAGATAAGATAGGCGAGATAAATAAATCAGAAATGAAAAGAATGGGACCAATGGTTCCGGGGGGATACGGGAGAAGGGGAGGTG